AATCAGTAAAGGCAGTGATATGGATCTGTAAATATGTGTACATTCATAAACATTGAGCTAAAATGCTGAGTGTTCTGCTTTCCAGATCGATTGTTCCCAGTAAACCCAGTGTGTCCACAGAGAGAGAACTGGGTCAGCCTCTCATTCACCCGACACACTGCTTGGGTCAGTGCTGCTGTGTCTGACATGTATCCTCACCCGCAGGCTTCCTCCCACCATCATCAGATCAAAGTGAAACTAATAATTAGGTAGCATGCGGAATGATTCCTCCGCCAGCCTTGAGCTTCCTAAATAAACTCCACCGACTGTGTGCACCGCTGCTTCCTCCTGCAGCATCTCTCCAGTCACTGAGATGTCTCTGGTGGGTTTCTGCACAAAATGAGGCCTTGTGTGCTGTAATGAGTCGGGGCAGCTCCGGGTCTCGTATAGAACACAGCTCCTGACAGACTCCTATATATCATTTTTTCTGCTAATTCAGTTCTTCTGCTAATTTATTGAAACTGTGAAAGGAGTGTGTATTTTACTACCCAGCTGCCCCGTGTTTGTGCACTCGGTCGCAGTGGTGTGAATTTCAGTGGGGACTCGTGTGGAAGGTGGGAAATGGGAAACTTATGGCGTAGTAAAAGCTCAGACAAACAACTCACAAGCTCATAAAGTCACTCTGCCATTTAGCGACCCAGAGTGGGTCCACATTAGTCTCTTCATGACGTCGCACACAAGGTCTTAGTTTTAACTTTACATCAAAATGCATATTTAAACATCGACATATATCAGTGATGAAAAGCTCTTCTCATTATAAGTAGTTTAGCCTTTAATTATTCATATTGAAATATGCATGGGTATGAATAATTTTGGGCTTAACTTCTTTGTATTTGTCACCCGCTTGTTTGCATAAAGAAACTGAAAAAAATACATATTTTTTAATCATATTTTCATGCCGACCTGTCCAGGGTGTCCCCTGCCTTCGCCCTAAGTCAGCTGGGATAGGCTCCAGGCCCCCTGCGACTCTAATGAGGATTAAGCGGTGTATAGATAATGGATGGATATTTTCATGCAGGATAAACACAGGTTCAGTTCCAAAACAGTCTGTACAATACAAGGATCCATTAGTTCACCCAAAAGCAAAGCAGTTGCTTAAAATGTTAGAAACTCCACCTGTCCTGCACTGTAAAAAAGTGTGAAAAAGTTGTTCAAATCTGCGTTTGTTGTTGTTGTTCTGGGCTCAAACAAGATCACAGACATGATTATTAGCATTCAGTCTGCCCTGTCATCCTCCTCTTCTTTTTCTTTACAAACACAAACTAGTTTAGAGGCAGTAATAAGCACACATGGAGCCTCAGGTGAAAGGTGTGCTTGTTCTGTTTTGATGCAGAATGACTCCGCTAACTGCTCAAAGATGAACTATGATGGATAATCAGAATAATTTCTCTGCATATGTTAACTTAAACAAAATATTTCCAAGACCAAGCATATAAGATGGAAATATCACAACGAGCACAACACGCTCTGTAATATAAGCCCAATGTTGTTGCTGAATGATCCTGCATGATGCTGAATCACAGGCACCAGTGAACTTTTCCAACAATGGCTGGTTGTTTGCTCATCCAGACAACAACTCATGACACAGGCTCATGGCAAACTCGATTTCTGACATTACGTGTGCAGAGTCGATGAGTTGGGCAACAAAAATCAGCAAAATGAGCAGTGAGGAGACGTGGAAATGCACAGACAAGAAACAGAGAACGAGCTCTGAGGGGAAGCTACAGAATCCTTCATTCAAAATTTCCGCTTCTAGTCCTGGAAAAGTCACTAATGAAACACAGCAGCCGGTTTAGAGCGGACCATCAGTGTGTCAGCGAGCTAATCGTTCAGTTCAACACAGAGCTGCACCTACTAATGTTTACTGTCGATTCAGGAGTCGATTATTTTCTCAATTCGTTGTTTGGTCTATAAAATGTCAGAAAATAGTGAAAAATGTTGTTTTGTCCACAACCAAAAGTTTCAGTTTACTGCCCTGAGGAGCAAACTGGAAACTGGAATCAGAGAATTTGGACTTTTTCTTTGCATCCCTGCAGGTTCATCTACATGTTGGCCCTTGCAAAATATTGGCCCTTTTACATCTTAGTATTTTACTCATCTATCCATCCATTATCTATACACCGCTTAATCCTCACTAGGGTCGCAGTGGGGGGCTGGAGCCTATCCCTGCTGACTCAGGGTGAAGGCAGGGGACACCCTGGACAGGTCACCAGTCTGTCACAGGGCTACACTTAGAGACAGACAACCAAGCACACTCACATTCACACCTACAGACAATTTAGAATCACCAATTAACCTCAACATGTTTTTGGACTGTGGGAAGAATCTGGAGAACCCAGAGAGAACCCACACTGCATGGGGAGAAAAGCTCCCGGGTGTCCTCACCGGGACGTGAACCGGCGACCTTCTTGCTGCGAGGCAACAGTGCTAACCACCGATCCACCTTGTCCTGTTTTTACTCATTTAATGTAAACTATTTTAGGTCATATTTATCTATACACACACACCAGTTTTCCTATAGTGCGTAAAGCTTCCTATTATTTAGGATGGTTTCTTTCTCTAACAAACCATTTGCCTGCAGCTACATAAGGCTGTTTTCAAAATTTCTAATGAATTTCCTTTGCCAAATTTCAATCTGAGTAGTTTGTATAGCCACAATTTAAAAAAAAAAAAACATTTCTGTGCAGAATACAAACTCTATCATGTTGGACCCCACCAGTGAAGCAGCAGTGGATCAGCAACAATAAACCCAAACATCACTCAAACCTACAAATGCTGCATTTTCAATTTCAATGCCAGTCTTTGTGAAGACAGCGTTGGGTAAATGTGGCTAAAACGCTGCAACGCTGAGTGTAAACACCTCGAGTTGAATCAAAAGGTGAAGCATGAAACTGTTTAACTGTACATTTCCCACATCAGACTTGACCACAGGGACAAACTTTAAACTCTGTGGGGTTCTTAGCTGTAATAAGAGCTCAAACGACACAGAAAATAACACACGACGGCTACGTCAAGGTGCAGGGATATAAATGATACCAAACTTCAAGTGTTCTGACTCAGTAAGTCAACATTTTTAAGCCCCGTTCTCGGTCTGAAACGTCTTAGTGTCTCCTACAGTAATAACAATAATAAAAAAAAATGCACCCAAGGCAGCACATTGTGTGTGAGTAATGAAGAAAGAGCCTTAACTGATCCAACATCACACCGAGGTGTCAGAAACTCCCAAACAAAGAGACTCTGAGCTGCAGCCAAACAGGATTGTGAAGGTTTGCCTTGTCGGGACAAACAAGGACGATGAGAGCAGAAACTCCAGGATGAAGCAGTGGAAAATAAAACCTGCGAGTCATGAGCACATTCTGACCACTCACATCTAAACTATTTGGCTTTCCTTCCTAATATAGTCCACATCACGTTCACAGTACAGGCTGCACGTATAAACAGCTTCAGGCTTTACTGCTGCTGAAGCTTTTACAGTCCTGGACAGTGAACAATGTAAAAGCTGTTTATGGTGCAGAAACACTGGATGGGTTTGGTGATGATAATAATAAAAATAAAATAATTTTTAAAAAGCTTCAAAGTGTCACAATAAAAACTTGATCTTGCAGGGATCATTTTTGGATTTTAACAACAACACTATTATTTTATCTGATCAGTTTGGCTGCATTCAATGACTATAATAAACGGTGTGGATACATGCAATGGAAACTTGCAGCAGCAGCAGCACATGGGCTCTGATGGATCCAGCAGGATCATGATTGTTCCGGTGGACTCGGATCTGTTCTTACCCAGAAGCTCTTTGGGCACCTCTGACGTTTCCTCGCTCATTTTAGCTGAAGATATTAAAAAAAATCCAAACCGAGAATCCAGTCAATGCATCCAACAGCCTCAAATTGTGAGGACGATTGTGCAAGGAAAGAGGGAGGGAAGAGTCAGGTGGAGCCGCCGCCGCCGCCGCCGGTGCGTTTCTCCCGGTTACATGCTCCTGTCCTCCGCCTCTGTCCGGACGATGTCTCCGTGGTGATCCGGGCGCATCAGCGTTTCAGGGTTTGTAGGGGAGGACGTGGGGGTGTTTTACGCAGAGGAGAAGCTACAGTCTCCTTAAAATCATGGTGAAAGCCGGCGGGTCTTGGTGCGCTCCGGGGACATGAAAGGACCTCCGTTCATCTGCTACCGTAAAGCTGTCGGTGATGCAGAAGCAGCCAATAGAGGCACCGGGGCTCCTCCCCGCGCGGTGATGCGACAGCCGGGGAGCCGCTGCGCTGCCGGGCCGCTGTGGCGTGGCAGGGAGGGGGCGCGGCGCTCGGTGCCAGGCCGAGATAATGGGCAAGCCGCCGGTTCCTGGACAGCAGGGACCCCTAGCGGCCTTAGCAGGGGTCTGGTCTCAGTGTGGGCTTCTGGAAAGGCCTGATTTGCTTCCATACTCGGACCCTAACTAGAAAAAAAGAAATAAATATCTGCTTAATTATAATTTAGTGAAATACAACATTGCTTTTGAATTGTGGTGAAAACAATGAAAAAAACTGTCCCGGACAAATTAGAGCACTTTGCTGACAAGCTGTGGGCCAACATACCTGTCAACAGGTGCAGATGTCTGATTGAGTTACAGAAAACACTTGATTGCAGTGATTGGCTCAAAGAGTTGCTCAACAAAATATTACTTTACAGGTCCCATCATGCTTGTTTGCTTTTTATATATATCTAGTGGGAGCATGGGCGTAGCGGACACGGGGTACACGGGGCTGGGGCCTTTCTGGAGGGCCTGCAGGGTCACTGTGGGTGGGAGGCATATTCAGGGAGGTGCTAGTGGAGTTTACACATTCTCCTCGTGCAGCGTGGGTTCTCTCCGGGTTCTCCAGCTTCCTCCCACAGTCCAAAAACATGTTGAGGTTAGTTGGTGATTCTACATTGTCCATAGTTGTGAATGGGAGTGTGCTTGGTTGTTAGTTGGGACAGGCTCCAGCCCCCCCACGACCCTAGTGAGGATCAAGATGTGTCTAGATGATGGATGGATGGAAAATTAAATACATATATAAAATAAAATGGAAATTGAATTTAAAAAAAAATAATCAAATAATATGAAAAATCTCAAAGGTCCTGGTTGGAAGTCAAAAGTGAGGCCTGCACTTACAAAAATGGTGAAGTGAGAGGTCAAGAAGAATCTCAAGATCAGGGCCAAGAACATCCTGATGAATCTGAGGCACCGAACAAGGAGGATTCCACTGCTCCAGGAAAGGCACACAGAAGTTCAGCTGGACAAGAGGAAGCTTTTGGTCATCAGTTCTAAGGTTGCATGACATAAAAATGAAGTTGTCTGGACACAGGGACGCGGTTTCCATTTAGAGAAACAAAGGAGAAGCATTCGACCCTACGAACATCATCCTCACAGTCAAACACAGCAGTGGGAATTCAGTGCTTAGGAGGAGACATTTTTCAGCCAGTGTCCCAGAAAAACCTTGTCAAAGTTCCTCTGAGTGGAAAAAAAAGACATAATCTATGAAGCTGGTTCACCATGGCAACGGGTAGCCTAAAGAAGGAGCAGAGCCTCTGTGTTAATCCGCTGGAGATGGAAATAATGTGTGACAAATGCACTTTTTTCTACATAAGAAAACAACAACACAGCAGCAGCAGCAGTAACAGAGTCTGACTGAAGGAAAAGACTCAGTAAAACATTATCCAGGAGGCAGATAGCACCTAAACTTTTTATTTGATAGATTTTTAGTGAGTCACACTTCCATGCCACCATTGCGTGTCATTAGCTTTGTGTCTTCTCTCTCCTGTAGTTTGTGTTTGTTTGTTCTCTCTGCACGTATCTCTGGACCTGGAGCTGCAGATTTCTGATCTCCTCAGAGGGATTCATTTAGATTCATTAGGCTTCTCTCTATAATATGATTTCATACAGTGTCAATCACACCTTGTCAAGTGGCCTGAGATGACGTATGTTGTTTGTATAAATAAAGCTGAATTCAATAGAAATAAACACTATTACATTTCAGCTGAATTTCCTACAAGACTGATGAAATGCTGGAATCTGACTGTGTTTCATGCATTAAGAATGAGGAAGTGAAATGACCCCTTGATGCTCTGCAAGAGAGTCGGAGTCACCGCATTGACTGACCCAGAGTCAGCCAGGGGGGATTTGTTTTTGGGAAACTCAGAGTTTCCCTCAACTTGGGGTTTTTAAAAGTTTATATAAGCCTACTTTCTGGAATGAAGTCAGAAGTCCCCAAGAAGAGTCACTGCACTCGGCTTCCAGGCAGTGAGAGAATCAAAGTCGTGCATTTGAAGGTTTTCCTGGTCGGACCTGGAATGATTCAGGCCTTCGCTTTTCCTGGCAGCAGCTACGTCTGTCCCCTAAGTTTTACTTTATTTGTCAATTTTTGAACTGACCCACATTTAAGGTCTTGTTGGATCATATATTCAAGTTTTCTCTCATCTGTTTGAGGAACTTTAACTGCACACACAGAAACAAAGACTCCAACAGAGGAATTAAAGAAATAGTGGACTTTTGTATGTATAAACTATAAACAGCAGTACTTCAGGGCATGCTATTTCAGGGCTTCACTGCATCTTCTTGATTGCATAAAATGCAACAGATTACTTTAGTGAAAGGTCATAACCTCCTCCAGTATCTCTGAGAGTGGACTACAGGTTAAGTTTACAGTGTAAATAGCGTTAAACAGAGAAGGGCGACACCATGTGGTGATCTGTTTGAACTACAAGACGAACCATAAAACCATCAGAAATCATTTTAGACAGCATGTATTGTGTTTGCTGTTGCACATCAAAGGTTTAATATTTCAATTTGATATCTGATGATTTTACCAAACTTTTTGTGTTTTGATATCTATTTTTTTCCCCCCTATTTTTATGTCAAGAAAAGTTTATGTTACATTTTTTAAAATAATGCCACAGTGACACTCCAGATTATTTTGTTTGCATATTTCATCTTTATTTGTGAATCTTCTCCCACTTTTGAAGTACAGTCCAACATACACCAAACACCGGTATGGCAGTACCATTAGGCAGTATAATTCAACATCTTGTTCACCACAACCTTCGTATAAAAATTTCTATGTACATTTTGTCAGTAGCTGTCACCAAACTAAAAAAATAATATTGTAAAAAAATAACATTATTTTTTACAAAACATTTGCAATATACTCTCAATAAACAGACAAATGATGCCAAAAGATGCAGGTGTAACAAATTATAATTCCAAAAAGAGGTATTTGTCATACGAGCATATGTGCTGCGGATTCTGTAGTCTTTCAAAGTGCATCACTTAATTTGCAGTTAGACTTAAGCTACAGTTTGGGCTCTGCTGCTTGATCTCATTGAGTCTTGCCTCCAGTTTTTCTGCTGTGGAGCTGAGCTGGCAATCCTTCAGCATCTGTGGCAGTTTCCTGAGCTCCTGCTCTGGACTTGTGGACAGCCAACCTTTGATCTGATCCAGCAGAGAACCCCTCTGTTTGAGCGGAGTGGCGTCCCCGATGCACCCCTCCTCCGCCGACGTGGAGATGTATCTGTTGCAGGAAAAGGATTAAGGTTTAATGTGAGTGGATGAAGGGTTAAAAAGAGGCAGGAAAAGGAAGGAAGGGAAGAGTTACAGCTGAGGTGTTCACTTACTTGTAGACAAATCTCTTCAATTTTCCTAAACGCATCTTCTGCATTGAAAAGAATCCTGAGAGGAAAGTCCTGAAAGTCTCACCTGAGGAACACAGTGTGAAAGTTAAACTTCAATTTCTGTCATAAATCTTATAACTGAGTATTGGCCTGTTAAAATTGCTGCTCACATACTCACTTCCATTTGCAAGATCCTCACAGGTGCCACACATTGCGTCCTGGTAGGCTGATCCATGGAGGAGCTTGATCTTTCCATTTGCACATTCTTGATGTTTTACACATGAATCCAGCGCAGAGGATGAGCTAGAAAAAGAGTCGTCAGAACACTTTTGGCAAACAGTGTCCCTTTCCGAGGTACCTAAGAGAAGACAGCAAAACATTCTAAGTTACTGAAATGTTTAAAAAGAAAATCCTGCAATCCTAAGTAATTTAAATAAAATGTAGTGTAATTTTACAGTGAAAATTTGTATTAAAAAAGGGAAAAAACTAATGTTTGCAAACAGACTTTTTTATGGCTTTTTTTAAACAGTTAATATGCAAATTTATAATTCTTTGTGTGATTTTATTAGATATCTAACAATTTTAACTGGAAAAAACTGGAACATAAAAAACTGAAACTGTTAAAACACGTTTTGTATTTTGCACTTAGAGCCAAATCATTGTGCACTATTTAGGGCAGTTGCTCTGCACCTGGTGGACCTTTATTTTGAAAACCAGACGCTGCAAAGCTGCACTCAGTAAAGACCCTCTGACAATTTAATGCCGAGTTTAAAAAGATTTCTACATTATTCACCCATGCGTAAAGACGCACAAGTTAATTAAATCCCCATCTAGAATTCAACTCATGGAACACAACAGGACGTTAGTGTCGCTCTTCCGGCCCGCCTACCTGTGGTTTGAACTCCGTGTCCGGGGCCGCACTCGGTGTGCCGGATACAGAAGTCATCCAGCCGGTAGAAGCCCTGCCGGCACCGGCAGACTCGGTTGGTGGTCGGGGAGCACTCGGTCTCCACCTCCTGGTTGCTGTTGCAGAAGTTGCTGCAGTAGAGACACCTGGGCAGGTAGTTCCACAGCGCCGTGAAGTAGTCCCCCCCGCACGGCGCGCACTGCGTGGGCGTGCTGGCGGTGCAGTGCGCGGCCATGTGGGTTCCCGGTGGACACTTGTTGCAGTTGAGGGTCTCCCCGGTAGCAGGGTCCCGGTACTCGAAGGTGGGAGCGGACTCCTCCGCCGGCGCAGCGGGGAGGACGGAGAGCAGGAGCAGCGCAGGGAGGAGGAGGAGCTGCG